CGATAAATCAATGGACACACTGTGCTTGGGGCAAGCAAAAAGATACAAAATGCATGGAAACATATGCCATTACATCCTATGATAATATGCCAACAATGTGAGCAATGAGAAAACATTTTTAAAATTTTGAGAGGACATTTTAGAAACATTTGTCAAAACATTTCCTTCTTAACAACAGTGATTCAAATCAATCTGCAACATTCAAATCCTCAACAATCAAAGCTTCTGAATTGTGATGGTGTGCCTCGCCACTTCATAATCTACCTGTGCACATGTAGACTCTGCCCCAAACCAAAAACCAAAAAGACAGAAATATGTGGAAACCAAAAACAACAACGAGGAAGCAGGCATAGACAAATTAGTTGCAATATTGAAAAGCAAGATTGATTAGGTCACTCCCTTGAATGAATGACCAGTTTGTGCAGCAGATTGGAGATGGGAGTGCCAAGAAACTTGAGGGGATGGGTGGGATATGCAAAAGGCAAAGAGCTGGCTGGGTGGGGGGAGAGAGGAGAGGGAAAGAGAAAGGGGAATTGGGTGACAGGTGACACAGGGTGGCTTAGATGCCACCATCACCAGCACCAGCAAGCGGGCAGGCGGAGAGAGGAGCAGAGAAGAGCAGAGCAGAGCAGACAAGAGGAGGACCAGGAAGGGGAAGAAGAGGTCAGGGCATAGGGAGCCCATTTGAAAGCGTCAGACGAAGGAGAAGGATGGGAGAAGCAGAAAAAGAAGAAGAAGAAGAAGAAGAAGACAACAAAGACGACGGTGCCCAGTTTCGAAAGCGACGCATCTCACTAAATTCACCACATCGCCACTTCCTCCTCCTGCGCCTCCTCCTCACACATTGCCCAATCAATCCCTGCCCGTCCGTCCGTCCGTCCCTCGTTCCCTTGCGAATCTACGCCACCTGAGGATGCACAGCGCGGACGACGACGCCCGAGCTTGCACATGCAACGCGGGAAGCACAACTAGAAACTGCACCCGCCGTTACGGACTTGGACGTACAGCTGGCACGACGGCGACCCGGTCCAGACCCGCCCGCCCGCCGGTGCTCCCACCGAGCCCCGAGCCCCGCGCCACTCCGGGTGCCGCCAGGCGACAGGTTGGGCTTCGGGGGCGGAGGCGGGGCGGGGTGCCGCGCCGGCCCCCGGGCTGGCGCGGGCGGAGGGACGGAAGGGGCAGCGGCGAGAGAGAGACAGGGGAAGGACCGAGTGGCGTACAGCGGAGCGAAGAGGTAGCACGAGGGCGAGGGAGAGAGACAGAGAGACGGAGAGAGAGAAAGAAAGAAAGCAAGAGCATAGTCTAAGGAGGGTGTGGTTGAGTCAGTCTTTGTAGACGGGTTGCTCAGAGCGGCCTCGACACGCTCTCTGCGTCCCTTCTTCTTTGCTGCTGCTGCTGCTCGTACTCTTCCGCGCCTCCGGGAGCTTTCGGTTTTTCCCTTTTGTTGGAGCTTTTTGCTGAGCTAGATCTTGACGCTGTGTTTCCCGTTGTTCGCTTGCCGTGGTTGCTTGTCTGTGTGAGGTGAGCGGGCAGAGATGAGAGAGATCATCAGTATCCATATAGGTCAGGCCGGCATTCAGGTCGGAAATGCCTGCTGGGAGCTCTACTGCCTGGAGCACGGCATTCAGCCCGATGGTCGCATGCCAAGGTACGTCGGTTTGGGCGTGGGATGGAGATGCCTGCGTTTTCGTCATTTTCGGTGGTTTTGGTCTTGTTGCTTTCGGAGCAGGGACCGCGGAGGAGAATGCCGTGCCGGTGTGTTTCGGCACTTGTGTGTCGTGCCAGTCGCGCGGTCGCTGTGTTGGAGCTAGGTCGTATGGGGAGTCGGAGATGCGGAGTGTAGCTATTAGAGCTGCCGGTTCCGGCTGTACCGATTTCGTTATGCGCGTTTGCTTGAGTCGACAGTATCGCTGTGACCTTTCTTTTCTGGAGGAGCACGGGGACACGAATCTTCCAGAAGCTGACTTTGCTTGGTGCGAATTGAAGCGCTGACTGGAAAATTGTTTGATAATTTTGCAGCGACACTACAGTGGGAGGTGGTGATGATGCTTTCAACACCTTCTTCAGCGAGACGGGGGCTGGGAAGCATGTTCCTCGCGCCGTGTTCGTGGATCTGGAACCTACGGTGATTGACGAGGTTCGCACTGGAACTTACCGTCAGTTGTTTCACCCTGAGCAGCTTATTTCTGGGAAGGAGGATGCCGCCAACAACTTCGCTCGCGGCCATTATACCGGTACGGAGCCATTAGTTTCTCCGGTTCCTTTGTTGCAGGTGGCTCTGGTCTTGCTGTGAATGTGGCTTAAGTAGAGTCGGCGTGGCGAATGAGTTTTGATTGTGCCCAGCTTTTGCGTGGGATATGGTCTATGCGTCATGTGTCCGGATTGCGCGCGTTAGAATCGGTGGGCAGGTTGGATTGTTGTTTCCAGGTTTGAATTACTCCTTTGGACCAAGCGTATGCGTCATGTTTAGACGTGCGCAGCGTGCTGTGATTGTGCCTGATGGTGGGTGGATGGCGATCAGCGTTCTGTTCGTTCCCTGACGTGATTCCATGGATTTTGCAGTGGGAAAGGAGATTGTGGACCTGTGCCTAGACAGAGTGAGGAAGCTCGCAGATAACTGCACAGGGCTGCAGGGATTCTTGGTATTCAACGCAGTAGGAGGAGGAACCGGATCTGGCCTTGGCTCACTGTTGTTGGAGAGGTTGTCAGTCGATTACGGGAAGAAGTCTAAGCTGGGATTCACTATCTACCCGTCTCCCCAGGTGCGCAGCCGCTGGTGGCAGAAACATTCCTGGATTCTGGTGCATTTCTTGTGTGCGACTTGTAGGGTGTTGTGGGGATGTTTTGCGGTGTCTTGGGCTGTGGTTGGTTTGTCTTCTTTTTAAAATGTGTGTATGTGTGTGCATGCAGGTGTCTACGGCAGTCGTGGAGCCTTACAACAGTGTGCTTTCGACCCACAGTCTGTTGGAACACACGGACGTGGCGGTGCTGTTGGACAATGAAGCAATTTACGACATTTGCCGAAGGTCGTTGGACATTGAGCGCCCCACGTACACGAACTTGAACAGGCTCATTTCTCAGATCATATCCAGTCTAACTACGAGCTTGCGGTTCGACGGTGCCCTGAATGTGGATATTACGGAGTTCCAGACCAACTTGGTGCCATACCCGCGTATCCACTTCATGCTTTCGAGCTACGCACCAGTCATTTCTGCAGAGAAGGCTTATCACGAGCAGTTGTCGGTCCCCGAGATCACGAATGCCGTTTTCGAGCCCTCCAGCATGATGGCTAAGTGCGATCCTCGGCATGGAAAGTACATGGCGTGTTGCCTGATGTACAGAGGTGACGTGGTACCCAAGGACGTGAACGCCGCTGTTGCCACTATCAAGACCAAGCGCACAGTGCAATTTGTGGACTGGTAAGCAGAGTGGTGGTTTCAGTGGTGTTGTTTTAGATGGTGGAGTGGTGAGTTGGATGGCAGGCGGTGCGGTAGGTGTGATAGGTGCTGGCGCATCTCCGACAACGCCGTTAACTGTGGAGTTCTGATGTGTGTAGGTGTCCAACTGGTTTCAAGTGCGGGATTAACTACCAGCCACCAACCGTGGTGCCCGGCGGTGATCTTGCCAAGGTCCAACGGGCGGTGTGCATGATCAGCAACAATACGGCTGTGGCTGAGGTGTTCTCTCGGATTGATCACAAGTTCGATCTGATGTACGCGAAGCGTGCTTTCGTGCATTGGTACGTGGGTGAGGGTATGGAGGAGGGTGAGTTCTCTGAGGCCCGCGAGGACTTGGCTGCTTTGGAGAAGGACTACGAGGAGGTGGGTGCTGAATCCACCGACGGAGGACAGGACGACGACGAGTACTAAGTGGCGTGTGAATGAAGCACTGGTTTGATGATTAGCAAGCTTCCCTGACTTGGGGATCGATACAGTGATTCAATTTCTGAATGGCTGGGTTGCATAGTTCTTATGGCCGCCAGCGCTAAATGTTGTATACTTTGTTGAAATCTTAGAGTTTAAACCTTGCAACTTTCATTTGTCACGTGAGTCGAGCATTTAGGCGACCGCATGCCCTGTCGCGGAGCCATGTATCATTGGCAAGGTCTTGGCTGTGACCGTGTTGGACCCGTTTTATTCGAGGTGGTTGCTGCATTGGTACTTGCTAGTTTGCGTTTCAAAATTTGAAACATAGTCACTGCATTTATTTATGATTATTAATTTGTATCAAAATTGAGAACATTTCTTCTCTTGAATCTGTGATTCATTACAATTCGCGTCGGGTGGCTTTTATTTTGCTCCTCTTGCAATTGGTGTGGGTGATTGTTGAGATTCACATTCTGTATATTTAAAAAAAGGAAAAAATAGGAATTATTAAGTACATTAACCGAGCATGAATGGGTTGCGAAGGAACCAACAAGACCCTCTAATACCCTCAGCAATTGTCCTATCGAAAATTATGAGAAATACTACATGCCTGAAACAACCATCCTGCCTCAATATGATTTAATAATGAATGCCTTGGGCTTGAACTATGCTAAATAATGCTACTCTGGCCAAGAAATTGAGGAACAAATGCAGTTACTATCCCTTATGTGAAATATAAATTACTGGTCCGTTCAATTCGTCTCCAATTATTAGCATCCGTTTCCGCCTCAAAATAAAAGCCTACAACTCAGTTCACCTACATTATTCCAACATAAACAATTCAACAAAGAAGTAAACGAACAAACGAAGAAACAGAAAAACAAAGACAAACACCTCCGTAGCGTTGAAACGCAAACTAGCAAGAACCAATGCAGCAACCACCTCGAATAAAACGGGTCCAACACGGTCACAGCCAAGACCTTGCCAATGATACATGGCTCCGCGACAGGGCATGCGGTCGCCTAAATGCTCGACTCACGTGACAAATGAAAGTTGCAAGGTTTAAACTCTAAGATTTCAACAAAGTATACAACATTTAGCGCTGGCGGCCATAAGAACTATGCAACCCAGCCATTCAGAAATTGAATCACTGTATCGATCCCCAAGTCAGGGAAGCTTGCTAATCATCAAACCAGTGCTTCATTCACACGCCACTTAGTACTCGTCGTCGTCCTGTCCTCCGTCGGTGGATTCAGCACCCACCTCCTCGTAGTCCTTCTCCAAAGCAGCCAAGTCCTCGCGGGCCTCAGAGAACTCACCCTCCTCCATACCCTCACCCACGTACCAATGCACGAAAGCACGCTTCGCGTACATCAGATCGAACTTGTGATCAATCCGAGAGAACACCTCAGCCACAGCCGTATTGTTGCTGATCATGCACACCGCCCGTTGGACCTTGGCAAGATCACCGCCGGGCACCACGGTTGGTGGCTGGTAGTTAATCCCGCACTTGAAACCAGTTGGACACCTACACACATCAGAACTCCACAGTTAACGGCGTTGTCGGAGATGCGCCAGCACCTATCACACCTACCGCACCGCCTGCCATCCAACTCACCACTCCACCATCTAAAACAACACCACTGAAACCACCACTCTGCTTACCAGTCCACAAATTGCACTGTGCGCTTGGTCTTGATAGTGGCAACAGCGGCGTTCACGTCCTTGGGTACCACGTCACCTCTGTACATCAGGCAACACGCCATGTACTTTCCATGCCGAGGATCGCACTTAGCCATCATGCTGGAGGGCTCGAAAACGGCATTCGTGATCTCGGGGACCGACAACTGCTCGTGATAAGCCTTCTCTGCAGAAATGACTGGTGCGTAGCTCGAAAGCATGAAGTGGATACGCGGGTATGGCACCAAGTTGGTCTGGAACTCCGTAATATCCACATTCAGGGCACCGTCGAACCGCAAGCTCGTAGTTAGACTGGATATGATCTGAGAAATGAGCCTGTTCAAGTTCGTGTACGTGGGGCGCTCAATGTCCAACGACCTTCGGCAAATGTCGTAAATTGCTTCATTGTCCAACAGCACCGCCACGTCCGTGTGTTCCAACAGACTGTGGGTCGAAAGCACACTGTTGTAAGGCTCCACGACTGCCGTAGACACCTGCATGCACACACATACACACATTTTAAAAAGAAGACAAACCAACCACAGCCCAAGACACCGCAAAACATCCCCACAACACCCTACAAGTCGCACACAAGAAATGCACCAGAATCCAGGAATGTTTCTGCCACCAGCGGCTGCGCACCTGGGGAGACGGGTAGATAGTGAATCCCAGCTTAGACTTCTTCCCGTAATCGACTGACAACCTCTCCAACAACAGTGAGCCAAGGCCAGATCCGGTTCCTCCTCCTACTGCGTTGAATACCAAGAATCCCTGCAGCCCTGTGCAGTTATCTGCGAGCTTCCTCACTCTGTCTAGGCACAGGTCCACAATCTCCTTTCCCACTGCAAAATCCATGGAATCACGTCAGGGAACGAACAGAACGCTGATCGCCATCCACCCACCATCAGGCACAATCACAGCACGCTGCGCACGTCTAAACATGACGCATACGCTTGGTCCAAAGGAGTAATTCAAACCTGGAAACAACAATCCAACCTGCCCACCGATTCTAACGCGCGCAATCCGGACACATGACGCATAGACCATATCCCACGCAAAAGCTGGGCACAATCAAAACTCATTCGCCACGCCGACTCTACTTAAGCCACATTCACAGCAAGACCAGAGCCACCTGCAACAAAGGAACCGGAGAAACTAATGGCTCCGTACCGGTATAATGGCCGCGAGCGAAGTTGTTGGCGGCATCCTCCTTCCCAGAAATAAGCTGCTCAGGGTGAAACAACTGACGGTAAGTTCCAGTGCGAACCTCGTCAATCACCGTAGGTTCCAGATCCACGAACACGGCGCGAGGAACATGCTTCCCAGCCCCCGTCTCGCTGAAGAAGGTGTTGAAAGCATCATCACCACCTCCCACTGTAGTGTCGCTGCAAAATTATCAAACAATTTTCCAGTCAGCGCTTCAATTCGCACCAAGCAAAGTCAGCTTCTGGAAGATTCGTGTCCCCGTGCTCCTCCAGAAAAGAAAGGTCACAGCGATACTGTCGACTCAAGCAAACGCGCATAACGAAATCGGTACAGCCGGAACCGGCAGCTCTAATAGCTACACTCCGCATCTCCGACTCCCCATACGACCTAGCTCCAACACAGCGACCGCGCGACTGGCACGACACACAAGTGCCGAAACACACCGGCACGGCATTCTCCTCCGCGGTCCCTGCTCCGAAAGCAACAAGACCAAAACCACCGAAAATGACGAAAACGCAGGCATCTCCATCCCACGCCCAAACCGACGTACCTTGGCATGCGACCATCGGGCTGAATGCCGTGCTCCAGGCAGTAGAGCTCCCAGCAGGCATTTCCGACCTGAATGCCGGCCTGACCTATATGGATACTGATGATCTCTCTCATCTCTGCCCGCTCACCTCACACAGACAAGCAACCACGGCAAGCGAACAACGGGAAACACAGCGTCAAGATCTAGCTCAGCAAAAAGCTCCAACAAAAGGGAAAAACCGAAAGCTCCCGGAGGCGCGGAAGAGTACGAGCAGCAGCAGCAGCAAAGAAGAAGGGACGCAGAGAGCGTGTCGAGGCCGCTCTGAGCAACCCGTCTACAAAGACTGACTCAACCACACCCTCCTTAGACTATGCTCTTGCTTTCTTTCTTTCTCTCTCTCCGTCTCTCTGTCTCTCTCCCTCGCCCTCGTGCTACCTCTTCGCTCCGCTGTACGCCACTCGGTCCTTCCCCTGTCTCTCTCTCGCCGCTGCCCCTTCCGTCCCTCCGCCCGCGCCAGCCCGGGGGCCGGCGCGGCACCCCGCCCCGCCTCCGCCCCCGAAGCCCAACCTGTCGCCTGGCGGCACCCGGAGTGGGCGCGGGGCTCGGGGCTCGGTGGGAGCACCGGCGGGCGGGCGGGTCTGGACCGGGTCGCCGTCGTGCCAGCTGTACGACCAAGTCCGTAACGGCGGGTGCAGTTTCTAGTTGTGCTTCCGCGTTGCATGTGCAAGCTCGGGCGTCGTCGTCCGCGCTGTGCATCCTCAGGTGGCGTAGATTCGCAAGGGAACGAGGGACGGACGGACGGACGGGCAGGGATTGATTGGGCAATGTGTGAGGAGGAGGCGCAGGAGGAGGAAGTGGCGATGTGGTGAATTTAGTGAGATGCGTCGCTTTCGAAACTGGGCACCGTCGTCTTTGTTGTCTTCTTCTTCTTCTTCTTCTTCTTTTTCTGCTTCTCCCATCCTTCTCCTTCGTCTGACGCTTTCAAATGGGCTCCCTATGCCCTGACCTCTTCTTCCCCTTCCTGGTCCTCCTCTTGTCTGCTCTGCTCTGCTCTTCTCTGCTCCTCTCTCCGCCTGCCCGCTTGCTGGTGCTGGTGATGGTGGCATCTAAGCCACCCTGTGTCACCTGTCACCCAATTCCCCTTTCTCTTTCCCTCTCCTCTCTCCCCCCACCCAGCCAGCTCTTTGCCTTTTGCATATCCCACCCATCCCCTCAAGTTTCTTGGCACTCCCATCTCCAATCTGCTGCACAAACTGGTCATTCATTCAAGGGAGTGACCTAATCAATCTTGCTTTTCAATATTGCAACTAATTTGTCTATGCCTGCTTCCTCGTTGTTGTTTTTGGTTTCCACATATTTCTGTCTTTTTGGTTTTTGGTTTGGGGCAGAGTCTACATGTGCACAGGTAGATTATGAAGTGGCGAGGCACACCATCACAATTCAGAAGCTTTGATTGTTGAGGATTTGAATGTTGCAGATTGATTTGAATCACTGTTGTTAAGAAGGAAATGTTTTGACAAATGTTTCTAAAATGTCCTCTCAAAATTTTAAAAATGTTTTCTCATTGCTCACATTGTTGGCATATTATCATAGGATGTAATGGCATATGTTTCCATGCATTTTGTATCTTTTTGCTTGCCCCAAGCACAGTGTGTTGTATTGCTTTGTATGCTCTTATTGATTGTGGTATATGTAGGTTTGCATATGTTTTGCACATGTTTGCAGGTTCTATTTTAAGCTTGAAATTTTCTATATATATTTATATAGCTTTCAAAAGTTGTGTTTTATTAAATGCATTAGTTTGTGGTTTTTGTTTGTATTTATTTTGATTAATATTCTATATATTTAATGAATGTTGTTGTGTTTTTTTTTTTCCTTTCTTTCTTTCTTTTTTTTTTTTTTTTTTTTTTTTTGCATTGAAGACACTCGGAAAAAAATTGTTTTTTTTTTGTAATCTTTGCTATGAAATTTTTTGATATTAATTTTAAGGTATATGTATATTTGTTAATGTATGTATATTTAACTCATTTAGAAATCTTTGAGTATTTTAATTTTAATTTTATAGTTATATTATTGAATTGATCTAAATATATAAGTTTGTTTAGATATGTATTGTGTAAGATTATATTTTATATTAAGATAAACTTTATTGTAGAAGAAATAGATATAAAGTATTTATAGATCTTTTATTGCTTGTATGAAATGCATACTATATTGAAACATTAAATAAATTATTAATGAGTTTTTTTGTTAAGTATCATGAAGGCGAATTTGAAACAAGTATAATCCCATTATGGTGTTGTGCTATGTAAAATGATTAGATATTTATTCAAAGATGGTATAGTATAAAGATTAGTTTAGTTATTGTAAAAGAAAAAAAGACTTGGAACTCCTGAAATAAGGTTAAGAATAAGAAAGGTGTTGATAAGGATGAAGAAGATTTTTCTTTTTGTTCTATGTATACTATTGAACTAGTATTTATGTGGCGTTATTCTGTAGGACCTCCAATATGTATTTAACTTACCAAAAATATGTCTAACTTGTAATATATGTTTCTTATATGTATGCCACATGGCTAATTTGTACTACAAGTTGCCAACATTTGTAATACATGGCCAATCTTTTGGCCAAGTTTTCAACTTACCAATCAACTACAAATATATAAAGTTAATACTACATCTATAGATCTTTTGAAAAGCTTTTTTACAAGATATTATCAAATCTGTTTTCATTTACTTTCCTCTTAATACTTTTTATTCACATAATTTTATACATGTATAACATCAAATTAAACATGTTGATTTAAATTTTTATTTTTGTTAAAAATATCTTATTTATGAATTAATACACATAATATGTTATATAATAGTTTAGACTTATTAAATAATAAATCTTTGAACTTAAATTAATATCCTAGCTATGACTTTTACATTTATATCTATGTATTTTATTTTATCATATATATAGAATAGTTCAAGGAAGAGAGCAAAAAAAAAAATACGAGATAAAAAAAGAGCCTAAAACCCACTCTAATTTGATATATGTGTCATTTTTTTTTCATCAAATGTTTTTATCAAATTTGAGCAAAAAGTTGAATTCATTGGATCTTTATAAAATCAAATATTGTAGACATACATATCTACTCTAATTATAATATAAATAATGTAATTAAATAGAAATAAATAAAAATAAGTTATATTGATAATATCTTATAGAATAGCTTTGTAAAAGCTTCATAGATAAGTTTTCACCTTTATACATATCAATAGGTGATTAGTAGATTTAATAAATGGCCAATAAATTAGCTTTGTGTCACACATATTGATAACTTATATTACAATTTTTTCATGTGGTGCATATATAGAAAATTTGCCTTATAAGTTAAAACATATGTCTTACAAATTGAACACGTGTTAGAGGTCTTATAGTACATCACCACATAACTCTTAAGTAGATAGTATATATAGAGTCAAAAGTGAAGTCTTTTTTTATTCTTGTCAATGCTTTTCTAGTCTTTAGTCTTATTTCAAGACTTCCTAGTCTTCTTGTCTTTGGCAAAAGCCATTTTAGTTTAATATTATACCATCTTTGAGTGATTTTCTAATTTTTTTTAGTGACTTAAGAATTTATTGTTCTTTTAGTTCTTTGAAATTCATATCCTTAATAGTTTGAGAAGAGTACTAACTCATTTTTCTTCTTTTATTTTAGAAATGAGTGGATCACTTTACTTTTATTGTTGTATTTTGAAGGTTATAGATTATTTATTTTTTAACTAATATTTGATTTTTTAATATTAATTTTTTTCTTTTTTTTCTTTTTTTCTTTTTTTATCTTTATTTGTAGAAATTTTTATTTGATATCAGAAGTTATACATTATCCTCTTTTAATTTAACTTTCTATTTTTTTTTTGAATTATTTGTAGAAGGAAAAATTGTGCATGCTACTCTTTATGGAAGTAAGAATAGATTTGCAACTATTGCAAATCTTCATGAGTTTTTTCAACATTTTAAAGATATAAATCTTACATATTTCTAACATAAATCATAGAAGTATTATTTTTACATCTATAGAAGAAATCAACAATAAAGTTCAAAGTCTATGCCTAAAAATTATGCAATTGAAAGAAGCAAGTAGATAAAATTTATAATTGAATTTAAGAAGCTTTGCTACTACAAGTATGAAAGAAGTAAGGATAAATATGGCAAAAAAGTTTGATAGAACAAGATCAAAGTTTTGAAGGTTTTTACAACAAGTAAAGTTCTATTTGAGGTTGAATCTTTTTTAATACTCTAATGGATTTACTTAAATAAAATTCATAGATATATTTCTATTTTCTATTTTTATTCTTTTATATCTTTTATAGAAAAACATTTATAATTATTCTATGATTTTAATTTATTTTTAGAAATATTTATGGCCACATTTAAAGAAATTAATTGAAAAAAGATAATAAAAGCTAAATTCATATCTTTACAATAAAGATTATGTTCAATCACCATATATGCTGCTGAATTTTGAAACCTTATCTGAAATATAGATTGGAATGATAAACTCCTTAACAATAAATTTTGATATGAGTTGAAAGATAATGCTAAAGATTTATTATTGATGATGTCAAAAATAAACTTATTGGAGCAATTTATTGTTATAGCTATTGCATGCAACAATTAATTCTTTGAAAGATGCCAAGAATAAAGATTTGATTAGAAAGATACAAGTCAAGTCATGGCAATACCTTATTAGCTTTTAGAAGCTTATTCATCCAAGCCAGAGCGTATACAAATTGACATAATATATTGCAAACTTTTAACTAAACATAAAAAAAAATTGATGTTGTCAAAGAAGTTTGTGCTTATATTATAGAGAATCCAAGTACATTTCTTAATATTATCCAAAGAAAAAATATAATCACAAAATAACAAGCATGGTTGCAAAAGAGGACAATGTGTCAAAAAACAAGTTTCTTCAATTATAATAGGAATTGTGTGACTAAAAACTTGTGTAATATCTAATAATGATTATATTTTCTTTTCAAATTTTATATTTATTTTATAATGGATGTTTATTTATGATAAAAAATCCCAAAATCTTTGTCTTATTAGATTCAAGAGCATCAATTTATTTTATAAACAAAGAATTTTTTTAAAAATAAAAATATCCTTAATTAAGAAAATCAAATCCGTATATGTAGAATTAATAGATGGTCCTTCATTATCTTTTAAAGATGTTATCCATAAAACTATTCTTTTAAATATAACAATTCATAGTCATCATAGCTTAATAATATTTGATGTGTTTAGATCTCTTTCCAATTCAATTATTTTAGGATTATTGTAGCTAGAGAAGTATAATTCTTAAATAGACTAAATTTCTTGTAACCTTAATTTTTCTTGTAGTTTAATCTAAGATTTTGTTAGTCAAATAGAAATCCAT